AGAACACGGGGAAGCAAGAAGAAACCCCCGCCCTGAGAACCGGCTCTTTTTATTAACCGTAAACGGCCCGGGCCATCCCCCCCCCCCCAATTCTTCTACAGCTGCTGTCAAAGGCCCCCTCTTAAAGCTCCCCCCAATATTTCCCGCCCCCTCCCCTTCAAGCGTGCAATCTGGACTACACACCAAGGGATATACAGCACACACTCTGCACACGGGAAATAGAGAGGGTTGTGTAGCAAGGCACGGAAGTCAGGACCCTGGACAGTGCCCCCTGATGCTCAACCTTGCCAGTTTGGCCCTCTGCGAAATTGAGAAAAAGCAGGGGGAACGGTGCGGGCAAGATGGCTTCCCGCTTGTGTCCTTGCACAAAGACACCTACTAAGTCGCTACGATCCTCACTTGCGTAGCGTTAGCAGCCGAAAGACGATTTTGGAGCAGGGGCGGGGAGAGAAAACATTGCAACTACGCTGGCCAGCAAAATCGAAATCTTCTTTTATTGGACGGGAAGATTCCACTTTCTTCCCACGTTCCAGTGCAGAATTGACAAGCCTGAATTGAGGTCTGGGCCAAAGGGATGGGTGTTTCAAATGCAACTCTCTCCAGACGCGCCCCTCCTGAGCCCACATTCCCTGAGTAGATGCTGAAGCAGCACCCATTGAAAACAAAAAAATAACCAACACATAACACACAAATTAACGTTGAAAGACAGCAGCGTCATCGGCGCAAAGCAGGTCCTCCAAAGCCATTACTGCCTCTTTTGCGGGGGGGGCGGGGGGAGAAAGACACAATGGATCCTTAGCAAGGGAGGTGTTTCTGTGTCCATCACACAGCCCACAATGCACCGGGGCTAGGCATTGTGGGAAATTCAGTTTCACAGGAGCTGGGTTGGAAAGGGATTCTTAAGGTCCCTGCTGACTTTGCAGGCAAGTTTCCAGGAACATCGTAAGCTGGTGTAACATACAGGGAAGACCTACAGTTTCAGCAGCTTAGAATCTGGTTTCCGTATGTCTAATTATCTTTATCCATTTCATTTGGGAACCTGTGGTTCTGCAGACGCCTCTAAATTATACGGACATCAGGAGCGACCAACATGGGTTTAGCAGGGACTTGAGTAGACATCATCTGTTTCCAGATGCATCGTACCTGTGGCATTCTCCATGCAAGGTGCATGCTCTGTCACTGTGCAATGGCTCTGAGTCTCCCCCGTGTGAGCGTTAGAGGGGCCTAGTTGCATTTGTTTAAAAAATGGCAGGTTTCTGTACAAAAAGCCACCAGTCCCGGAACTTTCTGAAACGGCCGATGAAAAATAAGAGTGGCACCTTCAGTTTCCATGCAGCTCCAGGATGTGGTCCTGAACTCAGTGGCATAAAAGGGGGGGGGGGCTCAGAAGAACCACACCAACAGACCGAGGCAAAGCTGGAAGAACTCCTCCTCCCATATACATTGGACTACAGCCCCAATCCTCCTCAAACAGGCACGGTGGCTGGAGATGATGGTAGTCGTGGTCCAGCACCAAGAGGGCCAAGTTGCGGAAAGGCTGCCCGAATGGCCTTTTTGCTGCTCCGGGCACCACTCAAGTTTGAGGCAAGGCAAGGATGATGGGTGTTGGATCCTGGCCGCCCTTACAGCAAAGCCAGGAGGAAGACGAATAGATCTGGTCCGGGGGGCAACAGGAAGTGATCTTGCATGGACCCCCCTGAAGAGCAAGCAGGTCAGGAGGCTAAAAGTAAAATGAATAAAGAGCAAAGTGCAAAGATGGGACAGAGACGGAAGCTTTCATCACACATTCAACTTGCACCAGCAAAATATTTTGGGCAGACATTTTTCTGGACAAGATCAGGATCTGTGGCCCCTCTTCCTGGGCCGTATCAGCCCCCCGCAACATACAGGGGCAACTTGCATCTTGCCACGCAACAGAAACCCCAGTGGGCTGGTGTTAAGGGAGAGGGACAGAGAACACCTGCATGTTACTTTCCAGCCTCAGGTTGACGCCGCAGTCCCGAAAGAAAGACCCCAACGAACAGCACATCCAAGCCTCTTTGTCCCCAAACTGGAACCATCTTTCCCCGGCGACCAGAAGCCTCAGAGGAGCCTTCTTGTTCTCGAAGCTCCAACTGAAAACCTAGTCTGAGCTGGACTTTCCTCCTAGGAGGTGGGTGTTAATCAGAGCACGTGCGAGAATCCAGTAGCATCCTACCCCTCTCCCCACGTGCGTCATGCTGCCAGCACACCAATGGGTTTCTCCAAGGGGGCCACGCAAGGGAGATATTGACTCCATTCACTTTATGTGTTGCTTCTACAGGTTCACAACACGTGCCTTACGAGGAGTCTTTTTTCTTCCAAATCGCTTAAGAGCAGGACCGAGAAACAGGTCATGGATCTCACCCTTCTGAAAACCAGCTGGGCATGAATACCACCGAGGAACGCTTGGAAGGGGCCAAGGCTTTGATGGGTACCCAATTGCTCAGGGCACAGATTGCCCATCATGGCTTCTTGCTTCTGATTTTTTTTTTAAAGCCCTCCCTGTTGTTCCAAAGGTGGAAGAACAGGAATAAGCCCATCGGTTTGTGCCTTAGAAGCCAAACCGCAGGGCAACTGGGTTGCGTATGTGCGTGTGTTGTGTGTTGCCTTAGACTGAAAAAAAGAGGTCTGCTTGCTCCTTGGATGTGACCAGAAATGTGCCACGAGTCTGCCTTTTGAAGGCAAATCCCTGCCGCCAATTAAGAAAATACGCCCGTAGAAATAAAAGGCTGATGAGAAAAGTAAAAAAAAAAAATTGCATTCCCGAAAAAATGCAGAGTTGTGGAGCGTCTTCAACATCCGAGCTGGCTCTTTGGCCCTTTGCAAGTGAGCGACAGCATCTTAGCAGCCAATAAAAACAAGAAGAGGAAGAGAAGTTCGGAAGCCGTCTCTTCCCACCTCCAGAAATAAATAAAAGGGCCCTAATTCAGCTGTCCGAAGAGCAGAGAAAGACAGCGCGAGGGTGCCTCCTAGAGGTATTTCACAACACTGCGGCTCTTGCCTTGCGGGGAGGAAGCCCCCTCTCCCGAAACAGGGAGGATGATGGGCTTTGGAGTTTCGGCTAAGCGACGAAGAACGTTCATCCGTGTTGAACCTGCCAAGAGATCCACCAGTTCGCAAAGGAGAAAATAAAGCCATGTGATTATATCTGTGCTTTGGTAAACCCAACGCTACAGAAAACCATCCACGCGGCTGGAAAGACGTGGTCAAATAAAAACCGGGTTAAGATTTGCTGTGCCTTCTTCTGAAACCCCTCACCCTAACTTTTCCCCTAGCCTGGCATCACGTCGGGAGGCGATTGGCGACACGAGGCCAGGAACCAGAACAAAGAACGTGGCTGGACTGTTTCCGGCTCTCCGACGCCTCTCGTAATCCCAGTCCTTACACCGAAGGACGGGATGGGGGTTTTCGAGGAGGAAAAGGGTTCTTTTGAGTTCCCTGTTACAGCTTTGCCTGTCCCGACTGGATCTTTTCGAAGACCTCTTCGTCTAACGGGAAATACCGGCCTTCTCGAGGCTCCAGGTAAAACAGTTTGTCTTTCACCACCCTGGGATCGTACCCTTCCTTGCGCAGATCCATTTTCTGGAACTTGAAGGTGCCTAAGTGGAGGGTTTGGGGCGGGGGGGGGAGGAGGAAAAAAAACATCAGGAGTTCAGTCCGTTGAAGAAGCGGGCCCACGGTTTTATCGGTCAGCTTTTGCAGGACGAGTCTCAGATGCTGGACAAAGCCACAGTTTACGGCAGGGTTTTCCAGGATGCTAAGCCATTAACCATGGTTTGCACATCCAAGGGGCGGACTTTCCCAAGGGGCTAAGCCAATTTCGCAATAAAGCTCACTCAGGATTCCGTTAAGCCACCGTTGCATTAAGCGGCATTTTTATGCAAACCGGGCGTTGGGATCAAATTAGCAATGACAACTGCCCGACGGACGATATAATTATGCACGCTATGGAAATGGAATCTGAGCCTTTAAGCAGAGGCTTGTTTTAACCTCCCAGAGACTCACTTGTCTTGTGGACTTCCTTCAGCAGCCGCAGGAAAACCGGGCGTGCGTAGGCGGGGAGGGCTTTCTTCATGTCTGCAGCAAACCTCTCCAAGTCGCACAAGTGCTCCTCGTCCACCACGGCAGCCATTCCAGCTTTCCCTTCGGTGCCTAAAAAACCGACATGCAAAACTGTCTTCGGCGTTCGGCTCCCCATAATAGGCAAGACATGTCGGAAAGACGCCGCTTGTGGACTTCCCGAATCCATTGGGTTTCTCCATCCTTTTGCCCTTCCCACTGACCTGGCACCGCCACTCCATACACCACGACGTCCGTCATGTTGAGGATCCGGCTGAGGGTCCCTTCTACTTCCATCGTAGAGACGTTCTCGCCTTTCCAGCGGAAGGTGTCTCCGGTGCGATCTCGGAAATACAGGTAGCCCAGTTCGTCCATGATGAGGACATCACCTGTGGCAAAGACGGTTGCCGTGAAATTTCCTGGCAGTCCTCTCCTTCTTTATGTAGAGCTTCCAGGCTCTGACTGACAACCTTTGTGCTTTCTTTATAGGTGAGAATTATTATTACCCAAAGGAGAGGCCAGCAAGGCTCACCTGAGAGGTAGGCAGAGTCGCCTTTGGTGAAGACATCTCGGGCAATCTTCTTACTGTTGGCCTCGTGGTTCAAGTAGCCGTCGAAACGCTGCAATGGATCCGTTTGGACGATGCGCCCCACTAGCTGACCCGGTTCCCCTGGGGACAAAGAGGAAGGAAGATGGGGGGAATCCTGGGACCTTGTTGCATTACCAGAAAGTTGGCTCTTTTATCAGAGAGCGCATCTGCTACAGCAGTGAGATCCTTGCAATAATATATCAATTGCAATAAAATAAACAAAATAAAATATCAGTCGAGGAAGGCAATTTCGTATCCTGTCACTCTGATGCAAAGGAAGCCAACCCAGACCGAAGCAAGAAACGTCTGCAGCCCCACTTTTGGCAGCCCCAGATGCCTTTTGCTTCCTCCCTTCAAAGCTTTCCCTAGTTGCCCAACCCTAACACGAACAGTGAACACAATTATTACCCCGCAAAACGAACCCGGTCCGATTGGCTGCTTTTCCAAGAGGAAAACTTTGGAGAGGTCAGACCCAGACCTGCCATCTGTAGCTTTTGTGGGAAGCTCAAAGTTCAAAGATGGGTTTGAGCGTATTTTGTGACCCTGGTTCATTGGGTTCCTTTGCACTTCAGTGGGCTGTGGAATCTGCAAATGGGGCCGTTCAGTTGCCAAATGAAGTAAGTTACGCAGATACGATCTTTAAGGGTTGACACAACCAAGAGCTCTGGAAAAGATGTGCATATGGCAAGAGCTGGTGGAGGTAACCATGGGTGTACCCAGATGTTGTTTTCTTGTTGGCAGAATTTCCCAACGAAATCCACCTACTCAAATGGGGAGGAGATGTAGGGATCTAATCTCTGAGCTTGACTGGAGGAACAAAGTGTAGCAAAGCCCTAGAATTTGGGTTTAAGTTGGCTGAGGCTTCAGATTCTGAGCTGGTTCTCTAGCTCTGCCTCCTGACTTGCTGTTTGATCTGAGATTTTTCAGGATTTTGGGGCCAAACGGGTTTTGAGTGCTGACTCCTTCTGGTGCTTGTAGCAGAATGTAGCTTGAAGGCATCTAAGAACTTTCAACCATCAGCCAGAAAGGAAAACAATGGAATGGATGGAGGTACCTCCTTTTGCTACCCTGTTGGCCCATTCCTTTGTTTTTTAGGATCTCCAGCTTCTCTCCACCCACCATCACCACTCTGGCCTGCTTTCCGGTCTCACCTGGTTTGCACCGAATGCAGAGCCCATCTGGTCCCCGGATCAGCTCCATGGTGTCTTCGTTGACTTGGACCAGCTTGACGGGGTAAACATTTGGAAGGATTCTGCTGTTGAACCCACAAGCCCCAAGCTGTAGAGGAGAGAGATTTGGGCTCAAAAGAAGACCAGGGAGATCTCATCTTGTTTGCCTCGAGCTCTGGATGACACTGTTCTCCTTTCTCGTACCTTGTTGTCAAAGTTCCCAACGCTGCAATTGCACTCAGTGGAGCCGTAAAACTCAGCAATCTGGGGAATGCCAAAGCGTTCTGTGAATTCCTTCCAAATGGACGCCCGCAGGCCGTTCCCCAAGGCCATCCGAACCCGGTGTTGACGCTCCACCTCTTTCGATGGCTGGTTCAGCAAGTACCGGCAAATCTCTCCAATGTACTGTACAATCTAAAAGTAACAGGATGGAGAAAAACAAGTCAAGGAGCTTTTTGGGATGGGGGGAAGGAAGACAGGGAATATAACAGTCGGATGCACAGATCTGGCAGCTATAGACTATTTCATCCTTGAAAGAAACAAGCCTCGGAGGGAATTTTCATTCACAAAAATTGGAACAAAACCCTTGTGGGAATGCCCTGGGTGGGATAAGAAGCAGAGGGCTTGCGGTGAATCCAGTGCTCGATTCGGTTTGAGGATAAGAAAAAAATCATGGGAAAAGTGGTGAGAAAGCACCAGAGGGTTACAGAAAGAAGATCAACCATCCGGGTTGGAAATAGGCCCTTGGGCAGGATCTGTGTTGAGCTTGGTGTGTAAAGTTAGTTCACAGTGATTTCTTTTCAGATAGCTTGGTCACATGGCCTTGTTTGTGTGTGTTGAAATATTGTTTTTCTGGTCATAGATATTTATGTTTTACTTTTAGATTGTGGTTTTAGGGAAACCACACCAGCGGTCTAGACCGATCCCTTGCGCATAAATTTTGGAGATCAGATGTAGACGCCACCACGGTCTTCACTTCAACTCATTTGAGTCTTGCAATAATACAGGTTAATAATAATAATAATAATAATTTTTTTCCTATGTGCCTTATTTGTTTTGAACGCCTTCGTCTGCTCAGACGTTCAGAATACATAAAACAGTCCAAGCCAAGGGGGAATTTCCCATCCTGCCAAATGATTAATTAATTACCTGATGTGCAATTTTATATCTGGTCACCCTCACTCGTTCCTTCTGTTTTTATTTTAAAAATACAGAAGGAAAGAAATGTGGCCATTTATTAAATGTTTACTCTCCTTCGGGTGCGCACACAACTGGGGTATTTAAAACCCCAGAATAAAGGCCAGAATTAAGCTTGAAGGCAAACAGAGATTTGACGTGGCATTTGACAAACTCCCTATTCTGGCACTTCCATTAAATAAGGGGGGGGGAAAAGATAACCGAAAGCAAACAGACTTGAACGAAGGCGATTCGAGACAGATTCGATGCAAAGAATTGGCGATCCCAAATCATTACAACGTCCTTCTTCGTGTTCGAGGTTCAACAGGGCTAGATTTGACTTCGTGCCAGCAAGGGGGCTGATTAAAAGGGTGTTGAACTGTTTGGGGTTCGGCGTGGTGTCGGAAGACGGTCCTTGCCTTAGCCTGTTGTTTGAATCAGTCCATCAAGCGATGCCATAACAAGGTTTCCTGGCTTAGGCGTAGCGCGTTACATCAACGCAGCCCTTCCAGTTTCCCAAAGCGGGTCGAAGATTCGGGAGTCTTGTGTGCTCAGCTGTCTCCCTCCACCCAGCACAAGCAGTTTTGCTGCTAGCTAAAATGTGCAAGCGTAGCACTTTCTCCCACACCGATTTCGGCTCCTTCCCTCCCACCGAGGCTCCCCACTGCCTCACCGTACAATTATACTTGACACAATCATCCCAAAACTGAGACGCTGAAAACTTCTTCCGGATCACCACCGTCATTCCGTGCAGGAGGCACTGGCCGACCCCGACAATATTCCCTAAGGACGGAATAAATATACGGGGTAAAATTAAGTCCGCAAACGACCGGTGGGGGCTTTTGTGCTTCCCAAATTCTTTGGGGACTCTTCATGTTATCCCTTTGCAGCCTACAAGCTTTTATCAGCGGGGTGAACCGCGGGGGGGTTTGAAAGGAAGAAGCCTTACGGAAATGGTTTTAATCGATCAAAGGGACCCACCCCGAACTTGGAAGGTGGGAAGGGGCAGCGAAATGCAGGTTTCTTTTCTAGGATAAAGCTGGTACAAAGATGGGGGAGGAGGGAGTTATCCCCCCAAATAGGAAGATTTGGAGAAAGAGTCTGAGAAGAAACTTGGATTGATTTTGGACGGTGGTCCTTCAGGCTGAAAAAAAGGGAGCCACCTTACAAGTGAACCCTTCCCTTTTGCATGGAGACCTCGAGATGTTATGGGGCAGCTTCCTCCCCCTTGTGGCCCCTACTTCATTTGTTTTTTCACCTGTGTCCCCCAACTCAAGGCAATCCTGGCTCTCCCGCTGTTCGGAAGATCACCGGGGAGGTCGAGAAATGTTGCAAGAGACGGATGGCTGTAAAGCAAAACTCCCAGGGCAGCATTTTTTCCCAGCTATCGGCGGATGCACAGGTTGGGGAGGGCTGTTTTAGGTCGGGCGGAAGCAAAGAGAAGGAGCAAAACTTTGGGGCAACAGTGGGGCGAAAAGGAATGGATTCCGAAGCCCAGAGCTTCAGCGTTACCTGCCGCGTGGTAGAGAGGGAGGCTGTTGTAAACCACATCGTCAGGCCTCATACAAAAGCCACTGTAGACCAGGGTCGCCATCCGGAAATACCTGCGCTGGGGGAGAAAAGGCCCAACTCAGTTTTGTCTAGCCCCGAAGCCGAAAAACCAGGGTACCCTTTCCTCGTAACCCTTCCTCAAGCTCTCCATCGTTTGCACATTGCGGAAAATAATGCGGCGGACGGGCAAGTGAGCAGAAGCCGGCTTCGCTCGGTTGCCAGGTTATCTACAGGATGGGGTCAAAAAAGTCAACCCTCCTGGTTGGCTCCCTTTAGCGGGCGCTGCGGGTTGGGCAAACGTGGCTTTCTTCAACAAACACGGGGGAAGCGTGGCTTACCACGACGCCTGAACTGGATCGATGTGGCCCATGCTCTACGGCGGGCTGCACAGCTTTCAAATATTTTGACTGCAATGCCCATAACTCCCTCCCACCAGCAGGGATTATGGGAATTGTAGTCCAAACCCTCGGGGAGGCTTCCCCCCACCCCAGTGTTTCAACTTGCCCTGGGGAGGTGCATTTGGGAAGGCGTCCCGTTCAGCCGTTATGCTTTCATGAAGCGGGTTTGGGAGCATTGCTCTCTTCTGATGTCGCCTACCTCACAGGATGGTTGTGGGAAGAAAAGCAGGGGGGGGGGTTAGCCCGTGTAAATGAGGAAATGGCTGGCCCCTACTCTCTTGACCTGCCAGAAAGCAGTTAAGACCTGGCTCTGCCAACTTGCCTGGGGCAAAAAAAGGAGCAACCAACCCCAGGGGTGGCTGGCACCTTGAAGATGCTCCTGTACGTTAATATCTTTTCCACCAGCAGCACCTTGGAAGATATTATTATGAATGCATGTATTTGGTTTTTATTGCATTTTTACTGCATTTTTCTACTGCTTTTATTGTATTTGAATTAATTTTTGTTGTTTTTGTTGTAAACTGCCCAGAGTCACTTCCTCGTGAGATGGGTGGTGAGCTAATTTGAAATATGAATGAATGAATGAATGAATGAATGAATGAATGAATGAATGAATGAATGAATGAATGGGCAGGAGGTCAATGCAGCAGATCAAATCCAAACCGTGTGAAACGTCTCTGACCTGCTATGGAGGATGATCGCCGCCTTGGGCAGCCCCGTTGTGCCGGAAGTGTAAATGTAGAAGAGTTTATCTGAAAAGAGAGAGAAGGACACGGAGACCTTCAGGGGGGTTTGCATTTTGCAACGAGAGAGATCTATCTTTGGGGCCACCAGCTCTCCTCTCCCTGCATTGCTAAGGCCTCGTGGGGGGACAGAGCCACCCTTGGAAGGCGGGCACAGAGAGAGACCAGCTCTGCCCGGCTTAGGTGGGCACCTAGGAATCCTTTGTCCGGTGGACTGGGCGGCTGGCGCGGTGCCTTCTCCACCAGAGAGTCGAGATCTTCCACCCCTGGCAGGGAGCTGGCGGCTTGCTGGTCACCGGAGCAGAAGAGGCGGATGGATTTCTCCAGGAAGGGCTGCGCTTCCCGCAGGGCTAGAAGAAGAGAAAAGGAGGGTGGTTTCTTTGCCAGGTTTGGGGGCTCGCGGGGCATCTTGGAGGCTCTTCGCTTGGTTAGTTCTCCTAACAACAACCCTGTGAGGGAGGTTGGGGTAAGTGGGAGCAATCATGGTTGGCCAATGGCAGATTATGGCTTAGCATAAAACCGGCCCTTGCATTTTGCAACTTAGGGTTGATGTTTCAGAGCAATCATCGTCATGCTGAGGAAACAGACCTCAGATAAAAGAGCTTAGCACCATTACAGCCGCTGTGATTCAGCCAACCCGGGTTAAAACCAACCGTGGCTGAGCACTGTGGGGAACTCAAGCCCTTGTAACGGAGTCAACAAACCCTGGTTTTCCACGCCGCCAGGGGCAACCCAGCCTCTGAATCTCCCCTCTTGCTTCCTCTCCAGCCCACTCCCCACGCTGCGTCCGCCTCACCTTCGGCCAGCTCGCCTCCAAACACCATCGCCTTCGCATGGGCGATTTTGACGCAGTGGATCAGGGACTCCTGCCGCACGTTGGAGTTCAGCAGCGCCGCCTCGACCCCGATCTTGGCCAGTCCGAGCCAGAGGCCGACATAGCGGTTGCACGATTCCATGAAGAGGGCGACGACGTCCCCCGAGCGGAAGCCTTGTTCGTGGAAGAAGTTGGCCACCTGGTTGGAGTATTCGTCCAGGTGGCGGAAGGTCCACGTCTCTCCCGTGCCTTGGAAGATGAGGGCCGCCTTCTCCGGATGCCTCTCCACCGTCCGCTGGAAGATCTTGGGGATGGTCCAGCGGCGTTTCACGTACCACCAGAGCTTCATGCGGGTCGACAGGACGCACACTGCGGTCCTAACAAGAGCAGGACGACATGCGGGAGCTTCAGGGAGACCAAAAGTGGAAACCGAAGACGAGCAAGCTAATGCCACTTTTATTATAAGGCTACGGTAAGAGAATCTTGCAAGTCTGAATGGGCTTCCCCGTCCCTCCTTTTACCTTCGTGAGAAGGAGGGAGAGGCATGTCTCAGGAGCTTTCTTAGATGACATTTCTACCCTGGACTCGGATTTCTTTTATCTGACTATCATCTTAGTTGTGGCTCTTCCTTCTGTTCCTCAAGGTGATTCCTTCTATCCATCACATGAGCAAAGGAAGGGAGACCAAACTCCCTCTAGCCTTTTTCTGCTTGGGGGGGCAGGGGGGCACCAGAGGGGTAGGCAAATCTTTCCAGCCTGTTCTTTGTAGTTGGAGGGGGGTCATTTTTTGTTTTTGACCTGCAATTTAGGGGAGAAACGGTACTGATTTACCATCCGTGACCAGCAAAGACAGCCTGGGAGCCAAGAAAGTGGCATTGGAGGGCCATTTCCATTTCTTATGCTGGGGGGAAGAGATTGCAAGCAACATGGCTCGAGAGAAAGCAGATCAATACCATGTCTCCCCAGATTGCAGGTCAAAAACTAAAAATTAAAATTAAAGAAAAAACTGCTATTTTTCTTTCATTTGTGGGGCGGGGGGCACAGGGAAGAAGAGAGTTCTGCAGACTTCCCAAATTCAAAATCAGCTTGTCCCCACTTCCAAGGCTCATGTTCCCGCTCCCCCGCCCCGCTGCCATTGTTTGTTCTACCAACAGCTGCAAAAAATAGTTTTTCAATTACAGAAAGGGAGATTTGAGATGAAGGAACGGTCCAGAGCTCTTTCAACAGAAGCTGGGCCACAGATGGTCTCATTCTGGATTTCTCACCTTAGCCGGAGGTTGAGATGAGATGGCCTCAAGGAGCCCCTCCAGCATTGAGGATTCGATGAACACAAGTCTCGGATGTGGGCAAGATTGGCCCCAGATGCTGGAAACCACCTTATAATCCACCACCTTCTGGGTGGGTGCCCCAAACGTGCACCCAGCATGGCTTAGCAGCTGGGTGGCCAGCTGCACAGACAGGCACACCAACACACGAACCCACACCCCCAGTTCAACGCTGAAAGCAGGGGGGTCTCCGGCAACCCTGCTCCGCCCCAGAGAAGCTGCCACGAAGCGTCCAGCCGTCGGCTGCTGATGCATTTAAACTTCTTACAAAATTATCCCCACTCCGCACATGCTGATCTCGGCTTGTCGGCTTTCCCTGCCACCCAACAAGAACTGGCATGCCTTCTGTGGCGTCTGCCCGTCCCAGGCTCGAGCTCCGCGTAGTTGTGACTCCTCAGCCCCATTTTCCACCACCCCCCCGGCAAGAACCGGTCCAGCCAGAAAGAGGTGATTCCTCGGCATCGTGTCAAGGGAGTCATTGGCTGAAATCTGATGCGTTGCAAAGAAAGAGGGCAGGTGGTTTTAGAACCAGAGTCCGAGCGTGGCGTGAGGAGGAGTGGGCCCCCCGGGAAGGCTCGGTAGCTGTCTCGAGAATGATTCGCGAGCCGTGGTTTTTTAAATCTTATTTTTAGCCAAAAGAGAGACGGCTGTCTGCTTTTTTTGCACCATCCTACAGCCCCAAACTCAGTCTCAGGATTGCTCCCGCTCTTCTGCTCTTCTTGCATTACGGGCACCGGAAAGGGCTTCCTTCGTGGCTGCAAGCCTGTGGAACGCCCTGCCTCAGGAAGCCAGACTGACTGCCTCTCTGGCATCTTTTACCAACCGATAAAGGCCTCTCTAGACATGAGGGCATTCGACACCCAGGCAGTGCCCCGTTGGCCAATGTAACCCGTTAGCGTTTGCATCAGCCGGTTTTCTGAAACTGCCTTCTATTTTCCTCTTTGCTTCCCCCTCCCCAAAGGGCACGATGCTTGTTTTGAGGCAGAAATAAATAACTTTTCAAGCCCGTCTTCCCATCCTTGCTACTTTCCAGTTTGAACAACGAAGCAGGATAAAATGAGAGGGGGTACCCGCCAGGGAAAGGAATTCCAAAAACCCCAGTAGGTTGATTTGCTTTTCAAAGTGAAATCAAGGGTTTTTTTTCCCCCTTGCTCCTTAAAAGATTTCTGCCCACTTTCTAACTGCCAATACCCATATTTGCTTTAACCTGGTTATCGAACAAACTCATTTTCCGGCGCAGAATGAACATTGCTGAAGGTTTTGTGCAGGGCAGCAGGTGAGGAAAGGAAGAAATGCCCCAACTTACGTAGCATCCCGTTTGATGGTCTTGACGAAGATGCGGAGGAACTTCCACCCACCGGAGCCCAAGTAGAAGATCAAGAGAGCTGGAACCACCTGAATCCAAGGCAGGTCCAAGAATAGCCGGAAGATGACGAAGAATGAAAGGAGGACCACCAAACGCATCATATTGGCCTGAAAGAAGAGGGAGGAAAGGGGGGGAAAAACACAGGGGGAAAAAAACACATTTCTTTGAGCTGGAGGAATTCGCCTCCCTTTGCTAAATCGTATGATAAATTATAATTTATATAATTTTTAAAAATATGTAAGTTGGGTCCAACGTACTGTGGGAAACGCAGGCTCTTGATCTTTGTTAACCCTTCTGTCACCCGATTAGTATAACTTTTCCTTTGCTTCCTTCTTCGCTTCACTTTCTCCAAAGAGAGGGAACACTGTCAGGACCATCACCTGGTGAGCAATGAGATAAAAGTGTTTAGACTGAAAGAAGTCCAAGGATGATTCTAGGGGACAATTACTGTGTCGCTCCGGTCTACTGGACTTTGATCAGGGTGGATTCAAGAAGTTTTTCTTGGCTGCTCGCCTCTGAAATCTGCAAATTTATCTCCAACCTTTATCCTGGCCTATGACCGTCATAAAGATTTGATCTGATATGGTCTGATCTCCAACCTCAGGACATCAGACAATAGCATCAGTAATACCTTTGCTCCCAACCTGGGTGGGTTTGATTCTCTGAACAACAGATATTCAGATCTCCTTGTGCGGATTATTGACTTCGCCAAGGCCAGAAGGATCTTTTAGTTCAACTACAGCAGAAGACAGCCGCTAGCCAATTAAACATTTCAAGGTGACTGAAATGATGAAGACTGGAGAAAAGTAACTTTAGCTACATGTATTTGCAGCCACGTTTCAGGGTCAATCCAATCAAGTGCTTTAGAGCCCGCTCTCCAAGAAACATGGCTGTTGTAATCAAAGGAGAAGTCTTCAAACAATGATTGTCTGCAAAAAGGGCTTATTTCCAAAAGTCAAGGCAGGATAAATGCAGAGTTTAACCTGAAGCTAACAAACGTTACACCCAGCCCAGGTTCATCTCTCACCATACCATACAGGGAAGTCCAAAGTTTCTTAATAGGATCGAAGCATTTTAAAGAAAAGCAGAAACATGCTAGAATCTGACCAATCTGACGTTTCCACAGCGCTTCCTCGGATGCCTCTGGAAAAGTCATACTCATAGCAGTTTGCCTCGGGGGAGGGCATCTTTTTGGAGAGCCACCCTACCCTCCCAGATCCGTGGCCCTCAGCCATTCATTCCTCTTTCAGGACGCCTTCGTCACCTCACTCTGTCATGCAACCCGTGCAGAAACAGGACCCAGAAGCATTTGTGGAAGTCAAGATGGCACATGGCTGAAGACACCAGCCAAAACTGGGTTACTCCCCACAAAAAATAATAATAATAATTAATTAATTAAAGCATGGGTTGCCCCAGGCACCTTGGAGGACCAGGGAGAAGGATTTGCAACCACAGGCAAAACCACAGATTCCAGCCTAGGCCTGCTGGAATTGAGTGGGAAGGGGCACGCAGAAGCCTTCTCCCCTTTCACCAAAAACAAACCCCCGGACTGGTCTTCTGGCTTTAGATCTCACTGCAGAAGGCTCTTGGTGCCAGGACCCCCTAAATCCAACGTTTGGAAGAACGCCTCTTCTTCGGGTCCCAACCCAAATCTGAGGACCCCAGTCCCTTCGCCACTAGGGAAAGGTAACGTCTCCTCTTCCTGGAAGAGACGCCTCAACGTGGCTCTTCCTCATTCCAGAGCTTCCTTTTTCTTCCATTATCTACCCGCCCATCTCTCTCCCTGAGGGAGGGACCCACTTCCACTATCTCTAGTTAGTTACGGTGGCTTTGATCTGCCCCCAAACCAGTGGGGCTGCTTCCCTCTCTCTGTCACCTGCTTGCAAAGGCATCCGAGCTCTGCTGTGCCCTCCAACTGGGGCACCTGGGCTGGTTCTTGATGCCCAGAACTTGACTCGGGAGGCCACGTCAGGACTATAAGTAGCCACAGTCGGGAGATAGTAACCCTTGTTTCTACCCTTATTAATATGATCAGGGATGGTAAGCACGCCAGAGCCTTCCTTACTTTGCACATGTTAGCCAGTCTTTCTAATTTTCAGCTGACTCACCTTTTCTTCCCCCCAGGGTGGTTTTCAACACCTGCGTCCTCATCTCTAGATAAGATGCTCTGTTTCCCCACTTCCCACTAATCCACCCCCGTTTCACTCTTGGGCAATCCTACCCCATTAGAATCGCAACGTGGCTAAGCTGAAAATTATGCCCTCCGCCCAGCTTGCCAACCCCATCGGCAGGGGCTGGCATGGAATAGAGACACCCTGTTTCTCCTATTGGGCCAGGTCACCGGGGCATCAAAGTGAATTTTCTCTGCTGGAAACATTTTTTAAAATGTTTCTCTCCTCCACCCACCCCTCATCCCACCTCCCACCTCCCACCTTTGTACCTACGTCTCTTCAATAACTGGCAATTAAACCAGATTTTCTGCATGTTAATCACGTGGTTCATGTATTTGCCCCTTTAAAATACTAAGCTTTATTCTTCTTAATGCATGTCTTTTAAAAATGGCAACCAGACATGATTCATTTGCCTTCCTTCCCCCACCCCACCTTCTGGACCACCGTTCTACCATCAACAGCCTCTGGGTGTATTCACTTTAACTAAACTTTAACTAAACTAAACCCCTTTAACCCCTTTAACTAAACTAAAGTTTACTGAATTCACCCAACCACCTGTTTTCCCCATACACCATGAACCCTACATTTATCACACAGACAGGGCTACCACAAGACTCTGAATCATGGACCACCATGTTTTAGCCTTGGGTGATCTTGCCACCAAAACCATCTAGACTTGTCCACGGATTTTCCAAGACGCATCCTCGAATCTAAGCTGGCTTTACATCTGACAGTTTTACTTGCCATCATGTCTCCAGGCGAGGAGGAAGAAAACAAAACAGGATAAAACAACTCTCCTTGGCCTTGCAAAGACTGAGAAAGTTTCAGCTTCAAAGAGGCAGAAATCAAAGAAGGCAGGAGGGTGAAAGGAATCGCTCAGACTGGTAAAACGAGATTCAAAATCGTGCAGCATGTTGGCTAGGACCTTCCCCCTCCCCAGCCGGTGCCAATTTTTTAAAGGAAATTGTTGTGGGGGGAAAAATGCCCACTTTAAGTGAAGGGCCCAAACAATTGGAGATAAATGCCCTTCCCAGCCAGACAGAAGAAGTCAGTGCAAATTTCTGCCCTCGTATATATTTTATTCACATGAGCATTTATATTTATATCTGTCCTCCACTAAGAGGGGCCCCGTAAGCCATGTATCCCAGCAGAGTGGCTGGAAGATGATGGACCTTGTAGTTCAACAGTCTGGAAGGAACCCCCTGAGCTGCTGAACCAACACTGCTGTTCACAAACTGACGGGAAAGAAGGGGCGAATTTGCTACCTCACCCCGTATTTCCTACTATGCGGGCAGAGAGGAGTTTCTGAATCTTCTCCAAGACACCTCCTCATAAGTTTTATGCTCTGACCCTTAAAATGATTTAAACCCACCAGGACAGGTCCTCCATTCTCACCCCATTCCTCCTCTTCTGCCAATATTCTGACTCGATTGGAAAAGATCAATCCATGGGCCTTCAGCCAAGTGTTATTAACAGACCCAAATGCACTCTTGCATATTATATTTGGATGCATAACTGCACACGCTGCATGCCGGCTCATATATGCCCCAAACCCCTCTGTTTGGAGGAACCCTAGTCCACCCAGTGAGGATTTACTTCTGGGTAGAGCGGGTAGGGCCAGGTGGGCAGGGAGGGAAGAATTTGGCTGCAGTGCCTGGAAAAGGGGGGTGCACTGCTCACGGAGCACCCTCTGGGTATGGGGGACCCCACGGCCCACAGTGGGGGCACTGATGGGGAGTGGTAGTCTCCCACCCCACTACCCAGTTCCTGGGAAGCCAGCTGCAGATCAAGGCAGGCATTTTACACAGAGAAGGCCCCCCTGCTGCCCCCATCCCAAAGGGTGTGGGGGACGGCTTCTCTTCTCCCCCCATTCCGGATCATGCGTACAGAATTGGAGGGGGGGCGAGAGGGGCCGCTGTCCAGGCCTGGGGTGGGGGGCGTGGAGAAGAGGGGAGGGCCCCGCTTTGTTCCA